AAGGCAGACATACAGAACCTTTCTTCATCTCCGAGAATGCCTTTCCAACGAAGCCTCTCGGGTCACTCAGTGTTCCTTATTCCTTGGGGTACCTCAGCAAACAAATGACACCAAAGCAAAAGTATCTCATATCACCAGGGTAGAAAGCAAAAGTATCTCATATCATGCGTTCTCCTTTTCCTTTCCTTTGTCCTTGTTCTTACCTGCAAAGACAAGGATAAAGAAAGCAATATGCCAAAACCTCCACTCAAACTCGGGTAAGGAACCGACTGCTTGGAACCCTTCCCTGATTGCCTACCTGGCACTACTCTCGAATACTCGTCTTCCACTGCTGCTGTACTTCCAAAGAAGCTGCCACATCTGCCTGAAGAACAGATAAGGCAAGTGAAAATGATACCTTGCAGCACGTGGAGACAACGTGCAGAAGAAACAAGCAGAGAAGAATGCAGCTTGCACAGTCAACTCAGCAGAAGGAGTCTGAGATGAGGAACTCGAGAAGATGCCACATCTGCCTGAGGAACAGATAAAGGAAATGAAAATAATACCTTGAAGTATGTGGAGACAAGAGCAACAAAGCACGTGCTGATTCGTCCGCTACTTCTTCAAAATCAAAAGTATCTCATATCATCAGGGTTGCAATCACTCTGGACGATGAATTCGTTTTGACCCTCAAATTCTTGGGTCGGCTTACTAGGCGTTGTGGACTGCATGTGCCGTTTCACCACTCTTGAATCAAATCCTTAAAGATCAAGTCACCAACTGGAAGAAGAGCCCATCAATCTTGAAGATCATACCGCTGACCAAACTGCTCAGGTGTGAATTAGACAGATTGAACAAAGCAACAAGTCGTCACCTTCACCTCGTGCCTGCTTGCCATATATTCGAGTCAACCTTCAAGAATCAAGCCTCAACGGCCCTTGAAGAAGCTTCCAACCAAATTCAAGATCAAGCCTCGACGGCCCTTGAGGAAATCACAAGTCCGATTCAAGATCAAGTGTCTACCACTCTTGAATCAAAACCTAGTTCAAGAATAAGCTGTGGAAAATCAACAATTGGAGGAATCCAGAAAATCCTCCAACCCAGTTCAAGATCAAAGCTGTGGAAAGTCAACAAAGCGCAAAAACAAATACGTGCCGATTCATCCACTACCAAAGCCAAAGATCATCTACCACATGAAGCTCCTTGTGGTCCAATTTCAACCTTTAAGATCAAGCCTCGACGGCCCTTGAAGAAATTTCAAACAAAAGTTCAAGAACAAGCCTCAAACGGCCCTTGAAGAAATCTCAAACAAAGTCCAAGAACAAGCCTCAACGGCCCTTGAAGAAATCTCCAGCCCAATTCAAGATCAAGCCTCGACGGCCCTTGGATCGACATCTACATTAAGGGACTTCAAAACGCATCTCCTACACGTGACAAGCACATGTATACGATGCGCCTTGAAGTGGGGGCATTTGTAGACATCGAAATTTTGGTAAATAAATGTTGACCGATAAATCAAAGTTTAACACTCATGTATTACATAAATTTTACGCGTAGCGTATGTCTAAACAAAAAATCGAAATAAGTTGGAAAAGTCATCAAACATGACACATGTCAACACCTGGCAGAAACGACTTATTTCATCTGGAATATTATATTCAAAATTAGGCATTGGAAAATTCTATAAATAGAAGCCAATTTCATTCATTTAGGGGGAACCAAAATCATTAGGCAAAATTCTTGAAGCTCTGAAGCTCTGAAACTCCGAAGCTCTCAAGCATCCAGGTTCCCGAAGAATCAAGAAAGCTCCCTTCGTTCTTCGTTCATCGTTCATCGTTCATCCTAAGATCAAGCCCAAACGGCCCTTTGGATCAATAATCATCCACAAATTCAAGATCAAGCCCCGACGGCCCTTGAAGAAAGTGTTATTCGTTCTTCGTTCATCGTTCTTCCAAGATCAAGCCCCGACGGCCCTTGGATCAACAAGCCACCGTTCTTCAAGATCAAGCCCAAAAGCCCTTGAAGATCCGTTCATCACTGTTCTTCAAGATCAAGCCCAAAAGCCCTTGAAGATCCGCTCATCACCATTATTCAAGATCAAGCCTCAAACGGCCCTTGAAGAAACACTCATCCTCAAGATCAAGCCCCAACGGCTCCTTGAAGATCCGCTTAAATCCACTTTCAAAGATCAAGACCACGGCCCTTAAAGAACGTTCATCCAAAATCAAGCCTCGACGACCCTTGGATCAATCACACATCCACAAATACACACCTTACGAAGATTGAATCAGAGGATCAAATTTGATAGAGATTGTAACCCAAAATCATCAAAATACAAATATTTTGTTTGTGCACGTTGTTCTTGTCGCTTTTGTTTCAGGAAATTTTCGTGTTCACAGGTCCCTAACATTTCAAATCGATAAAAGTGGTCCCTAAGATTGTCTACCATCCATCATTTTGGTCATTCCATTAAAAACTCTGTTAAGTGTCCCAGAGCTCTTGGCCTGAAGTTTGGACAATTTTCAAAGCTTTGTAACTCAATCGTTTCTTAACCAAATTCAACCCATAATATATCAAAATGAAGATAGGAAAGTGTAGAATAAGATTATACCACCAATGGCTGCCTGAGATAGCCAGAAAATAGCCTCAACGTTGACTGATCAGAAGGAAAACTGGAAAACTCGTCGGAAACTGGGTAAACTTTAAACGTTCATAACTTCTTCAATACTCAACTAAATCAAGTGATTCAAAAACAAAAATCATACTTCTCAACGAGACAAAGAGAATGGTATCTTTTTAAACGGCTAACTCTCCGTGGTTTGTCCATAAAACAACTCGAAAGTGGCTATCTTGGTCTCAAGTTAGCCACTTTCAAGCCGTTTTACAGACAAACCACGAATATTTAGCCATCTAAAAAGGTACCATTCTCTTCATCTCATCGATAAGTATGATTTTCATTTTTAAATCACTTGATTTCGTTGAGTATTGAAGAAGTTATGAATATTTAAAGTTTACCCAGTTTCCGGCAAGTTTTCCAGTTTTCCCTCGGATCAGTCAACTTTGAGGCTATTTTCCGACCATCTCCAGCATCCATTGGGCTTCCAAATATGTATAATCGTATTCTACACTTTCCTATTTTCATTTTGATATATTATGGGCAATGTTTTAAAGAACTCGCCTCAGGGCGCGCCTAGGGCGCCTTTAAGGCTGGGCGGTGAGGCAAATGCCTCTGTTTTGCTGGTGTAGGCGAAATGCTTCGCCGGAGACGCCGAGGCGACGGAGGCAAGCCTCAAGGCGCCGTCCAGGCGCCTTTCTGCCCTTTAAAAAAAAAAAAAAAAAAAAACACCCAAACCCAAAACGACGCCATTTGGGGTAAGGGTTTTTAGACTTAGGTACAAAATACAGATAACAGATTCCACCCCATACCTTCGAAGGCTTCGATACATTTCTTCACCTTCTTCTCCCGCGCACCAGAGGCCCAGAACACAGCCGCTGTCACCCCAGGCGCCGTCCTCTCCCAGTCGCCACGCCACCATCCCCACACCGTGATCACCCCTCCGCCATCGCCACAGCACCATTAGGAAGCCCAGAAATCCCCAATTTAAGATTAGGGTTTTATTATTTAGGCAGCCGCAGAACAGAATCGTATAACTTGTAGTTGTAGGGCTGGGTTTTATTGTTTAGGGCCTTTATAACTTATAGAACTTGTGAGTTGTGATAAAGTTTTATGTGTTTAGGCAGAAATGAATCGATGCTTCTAGTGGAATTATTTTGTTTTTTTCTTTATTTATTTGCAAACCTTTGTGTGGAATTACTTTGTTTTTTTCTTTAATAGCATGCAGTTAGGAAAGATTTTGCTTAATGTGTTGTACTTTGTTTTTTTCTTACTTTGTTTCTTTAATAGCATGCAGTTAGGAAAGATTTGGATGAATGATTGTTTTCTTTGTTTGTATTACCTTTTGAATGATGAATTTGGATAATATTACCTTTGAATGATGAATTTAGATGATATTATCTTTTGAATGACTATGGATTTGAATGAAAAATTGAGAATGAATGTTTATTTTACATAGTATTATTTTTTATACAATTATATGTATAATACATAAACATATATAATAAAAAAAATTTATTCCCGTAAGGCTTCACCTCACGCCTCACGCCTAGGACGCCTCGCCCACGCCTCACGCTTTTAATACATTGATTATGAGTCAAATTTGGTTAAGAAACGATTGAGTTATGAAGTTTGAAAATTACCCAAACATTTGGCCAAGAGATCCAGAACACTTAACAGAATGACCAAAATGATGGATGTTGGACAATCTCAGGGACCACTTTTATCTATTTGAAATGTTAGGGACCAAAGTGATGAGTTATGCAAATCTCAGAGACTATTTTGGCTATTTAACCTCTTCAAAATTAAAGATCCAAAGCTTTGTAATTGAAATAAATAAATAAGTTGGCCAATAATCTTTATTTTCAGTCCAAACAATGAACCCAGTGTTTTTTTTTTTTGTGAACTGACATGGGTTTAGTTTATGCAAAATCACAATCTTTCTAAATTACGTTTCAAACCTCAAACCAGATATTCATAGTGTATTAGTTGGGAGGACGTAAAACTGTAGGATAAATTAAGGGCTGGTTTGGTATTGCTGTGCTTTGAAAAAAAAACTGTTTTTGCTGTGTTGTAAGAATAAACGGCTGTAAAATAAAGTTGTAGTGTTTGGTAAACTTTTTTGTAAAAATGCTTTTGAAAAATAAAAAAGCAGTATTGTTTGGTAAACTTTTATGTAAAACATATGTGAAAAAAAGCCGGTTTTTCAAAGCTGAGTTTTGCAGCTTCTTGTTTTTGGCTTTTTTTTCATCCAAAACAGTGAAAAAAACTGAACCTGAATGTTTACCAAACACAAAAAAGTTCCCAGCTTTTTTTTATACTAGCTTTTTTTAGAATCACATCAGTACCAAACTAGGCTTAATTCATCTCACATGCATAAACATTAAACAAACACTACATGAAGGGATTAAAGAAAATATTCAATTTAAATAAATGGAAATATTTCAAATATGTTACACCAGTTTACAAGTCTGATTACCTCTTTTATTCCCCTTGGTTCTAGCACTGCAAATATAAGAATTTACAGACGTTTCATACATGAATAATTTATACATATGGTAATTTAATTAGTCTACCTAAGCCACTTTATTTTTCTAGACAAATAAATGGACGACGCCTTTTTTATTTGCATGCTTGAGATAGTAAAACGTTTGCGGTTGCACTAATTTCAGCTCTCTTTCTCTTCCTCTCCCTCTCTCCAGTAACCTCCAATCTCACTCCAAACAACTTTAGCACTCTTTCATTATCTTCCTCCTCTTTCTCAGCCGAGTCTCCATACTTTGCCACCAAGTCAAGAAGCTCCTTGCACTTCCGTTTCATGCTCGTCAGCTCCGAGCTCAAAACCCCGTTCTCCTGCTTCAGCCTTTTGTTTTCGTCGACGAGAGAGCTGAACTCGGATGATGATGAAGTTGAGGAGGACCTTTGGTCTTCATCAAACTCATTTGGTAGTAGTGCAGCTGCTCCAGCTTGTTGGGTTACTGCATTGTTGATCGGCTGTTGTTTGGTGGCCCATGCTTTTCTTCTACGGATGTCACATAGCTGATCCTTTTCGCCCTTTCGGAACTTGTCGTTGCAGAACTCCCACCTGTTTGTGGCAACTTTGCGAAATCCCTGTATATACGCATGGCATTTGATTACACGAGGGTTATATACCAAATCATTGTAAGAGTTCATTATATATATATACACACACACACTACGTCCGTACGTAATTCCCTAGCTATTAGCCATTGATCTATGCACATCATTATGTGCAACGACTTTCGGTTGCTATTGTCAAACTTTTCTTGTAGTGACAACATATACATATAAGAGTCGAAGACCCATGTTTGGCTTTAATTATTTTTTTAGGATTAATTTATATATATATATTTTTATAGTTTAGGATTGGGGTACACACATTTTTTGATACATTTGGTAGAGATGTAATGTATTTCAACAATCCTAGTCTATTTTTGGGCATTCATTTAAAGATCATGTCTACTAAATCTGAAACTATATGACCATGATAGTCATTTTAGTGTTTCTTTGCACAACCATGTTCGTCTTTTCTGTACTACAAATAAATATCCTAATTTTGGATTTATCTAATTAATTTTGCAAGGATGATCTATGAGTGATGAATTGAAATATAGACGGTTCAGATCGTTGAAAAAGCTACAGAGTATGCCTACAAATTGTGTCTCAAAAAATGAGTGTCCCCAATCGTAAATTTTATTTTAAATATTTTTAGTATGAATTAACCTATACTATATATTAAGATAATCTTCTCTGTGAACTAAAACGAGAGTTAAATGAATATTAGAGCATTTAAATGACAAAGAATTTAAAAATTTGTCCTAAAAATCATGGGCATTATTGTAATTTTATTTACTTCTACTTTCTCTTACTCTGTACTTTTTCTCCTTATCAATTATCTAAAGCAATTTTTGCCCTATGCACATGCATAGCATGGGTGGAGGTTGTTAGTTAAATTAAAAAAAAAGGCTCCTATTAGCTCAATATTTTGTATTCCTACTTTTTGTAATATTATTGTCACATCCCAATTTTGGTTCCGCCGTAACACGATACTGTCCGCTTTGGACTTACCATTCCCTCACAGTTTTGTTTCTGAGAACTCACGAGCAACTTCCCAATGGGTCATCCATCCTAGGATTACTCTCGTCCAAACTCGCTTAACTTCGGAGTTCCGATGGAATCCGAAGCGAGTGAGCTCCCAAAAGACCTCGTGTTATCGGGAAGGGGAGCATGTACATATAAGACACATCATCCCTTCTCTATTGGTCAATGTGGGATGTTATAATCTACCCCCCTTAGGGGCCCGACGTCCTTGTCGGCACACTCACACCACACGGCAGAGTGGCTTTGAGACCAAATTGTCACATCCCAGTCTTAGCTCCGCCGTAGCACGATATTGTCTGTTTTAGGCTTACCATTCCCTCACGATTTTGTTTCTAAGAACTCACACGAGCAACTTCCCAATAGATCACTCATCTTAGGATTGCTTTCGCCCAAACTTGCTTAACTTTGGAGTTCCGATGGAATCCGAAGCTAATGAGCTCCCAGAATGCCTCGGTGCTATAGGGAGGAGAGCATATACATATAAAGCACATCACCCCTTCTCCGTTAGTCGATGTGGGATGTTACAATTATATAAATACAAACTTTATTTCTATTGCTTATAGTAATTAATTATTTTTCACTAAACTAGAATATCGTTACAGTATTAATTTCATATAAAAACTTACACAATAACTTTCTAGTCATTTTAGTTTTTATTCAACAGAAAATAGAGAACATAATTGGAGATTCTTTTCTTTAACTTATGGTCATTATTTCTAAAGACTGTTGTTGGAGTAATTATTTTATAAAGAGCTCCTTAGATAACTTTCTAGTCGTTTTAACTACTGTTTAAAATAGAAGCATGATTGAAAAATGCTCTTATTATTCTCTAAACTATAGAGTGTGGTTAGAGTAATATTCCCTAGAGACTCTAAGATAGTTTTCATTTTTTTTAAAATTAAAATTGCATTTAAAAATAAAGAGCATAATTGGAGAGATTCTTTCTAACTTTTTGTTTAGTTACATTTTCTTTCCAAAATTGAAAGAGATAATTAAAAGTTTTATTATAAATATTCAACAAAAAAAAAGTATAAAGAAAAAAAATAATTTCTGCACCTGTTTTTTCACCTCCACATTCTTTTTTCTTCTTACTCTTTGGATTGAACAAATAAAAGAAAATATTCTAAGAGAAAAAATAATATAATGAGTGCAAAAAGTAAAAAAAAATATGTTAATCAAAGTTCATTTTTTCTTTTCATGACAGGCCCCTGTCATACTACAGAGTCCATATTAATTTATCATTCTTTACGACTTAGTGGACTATAATGAAATTAAAGCTCGTGAAATATGTCAATTTCATGTTTTGGAACGTCTTGAAAGTTCTGAGTTTAGACTCAACACAAATATGCTTTATTTGATATTACAATTTAGTTGTATTTCTTTTTATTTGTAATGGAAATTGTTGGATTCGATTATCATCAAAATTTAATTTGAATCACATTATTATAGTTAATTCAATATGAAACTTAACTCACTTTCTTTTTTAATGTAGAAAAATATTATTTGTTAAAAATATAAATAAACAAATATGTTTTGTTTACAAAAATCATATTAATTTAAGTTGGTTAGTCCATCAAATAACAAATAAAAAATTATATAAGTTAGGTGAGACAAGACCATTAGACCCTTTCATACTAACCCAAAAAGTTTGACTAGATATATCATATTTAAGAAAGCTGGGTCAACTTGGCCAAATGGACTTTTCATTTATTGTTGTTATATTTATTTTCTCAATTTCTTTTTGTCATGATGATGTGATGATGATGATGAAGAACATAGAACATATAAAATGGTAAAGTGCAAGAATTTGTTCCTGATTAGATATTTATTTATTTTTTTAAGTTTTTTTTAATTTTTATCATGAATCAAATAAAGTTAAAGTTAATAATTTCCTTTTTAATCTAAGATATGTATGATTCCAAAAATAAATCTAACACATAATATGTGGGTTAATAAGTTTATACGTACATAAGTATTTAGCTGCCTGACAAAGCTAGAGAAGTTACTATGCTTGAAGAGTGTTGGGAGGAGATCCCGGGCAAATTCCGCCGTCTGCCACACCACGAACGCCGACCCATCGTCGTTCCAGGATATCACATCGTCCGTCGCCGGATCCTCCACCAGCATGTAGGTCTTCAACAAGAAAGGTGGTGGGCTTGACTTCCTCACATATTCCAACAAACGCTTCTGATCATCACACACACCCTCCATTACTTAATATCTAATACTGGAAACTGAACTACTTCTAAGAAAGAGATAGAGAGATCGAGCTAGAAGAACAGAAGAGGATAATTAAAAGAAGGATTAAGAAGAAGATTAAGGATGATAATTAATTGGAAAAGAGAAGAAGGGCAGTTAAGAACTCCCAACCCCAACAGTAGAAACCCAACACAACTCCAGAGTTCATGAGAAATGCAAGGTTTTCCTTCCCCTTCTCTATGCAAAGTTGTAGAAAGAAATGGTTAAAACCTCTCTGCCTAGCCTACCCCCTCCTTATATACTTTGTAAAATTCATGACATGCGCATCACATTCGATTATATAATATTATATATATGTTCCGACCAAAAAAAAAATATATATATATATATACACGTAATATATATGACTTATTCATAGTTTTATGCGTACTATATATGCAATTGGCATACTTAAATCATTAGGATCTTAAGATGTCAACCACCCGATCTTGATTATGATCAAACCTTCATCACCATTTTGGACGACTAGGGATAAAGGGTTTAATGGTTATTGCCTTTGACCATATGACTAAAGACACAAACCATTATCTTACCCAACATTTGCATTCTCAGTTGGGTAAATCGTCAAAATGATCATTGAGATTTGCATAACTCATCACTTTGATACCTAAGATTCCAAATCGATAAAAGTAGTCCCTGAGATTGTCCACCATCCATCATTTTGGTCATTCCGTTAAAAACTCTGTTAAGTGTCCCAGAGCTCTTAGCTGGAAGTTTGGGCAATTTTCAAAACTTTGTAACTCGATCGTTTCTTAACCAAATTCGACCCATAATATATCAAAATGAAGATAGGAAAGTGTAGAATAAGATTATACCTATTTCAAAGCCCAATGGTTGCCAGAGATGACCTGAAAATAGCTTCAAAGTTGACTGGTCCAAGTAAAAACTTGAAAACTCGTCGGAAACTAGGTAAACTTTAAACATTCATAACTTCTTCAATACTCAACGAAATCAAGTGATTCAAAAACGACAATCATACTTCTCTATGAGACGAAGATAATGGTACATTTTTCAACGGCTAACTCACCGTGGTTTGGCCTGAAAACGGCTTGAAATTGGCTAACTCGAGACCAAGACGACCACTTTCAAGCAGTTTTCCGGCCAAACCACGGCAATTTATCCATAAAAAAGGTAGCATTCTCTTTGTCTAGTCGAGAAGTATGATTTTTGTTTTTGAATCACTTGATTTCGTTGAGTATTGAAGAAGTTATAAACGTTTAAATTTTACCCAGTTTCCGGCGAGTTTTCAAGTTTTCACTCGGACCAGTCAACTTTGAGGCTATTTTCTGGCAATCTCCGGCAATCATTGGGCTTTGAAATCGGTATAATCTTATTCTACACTTTCCTATCTTCATTTTGATATATTATGGGTCGAATTTGGTTAAGAAACGATTGAGTTACGAAACTTTGAAAATTGCCCATACTTCCGGCCAAGAGCTCTGGGACACTTAACGGAGTTTTTAACGGAATGACCAAAATGATGGATGGTGGACAATTTCAGGGACCACTTTTATCGATTTGGAATCTCAGGGACCAAAGTGATGAGTTATGCAAATTTCAGAGACCATTTTGGCGATTTACCATTCTCAGTTTAATATAATTCACCAAGTGATACCATTATCTTGCCACACATGTTCACTCTCAGTTTGATATATTCCATAAAGTAATCAACCCTTATTTGTACAAGAATAAAATAGCTATTTATAAACCTTCTTATTTGAACTAAACGTATTGTCCGCTTTCTTTATCTTATAATGTTGCTTAATGATTGGAGCTGTCTAATTTTTGGGCCACATTTTAAAGACTAACTGTACAAAAAATCAACTCAATTATATATTGTTTTAACCGTTCGATTAACGTTATCAAAATTTTAATGGTTAAGTGAGAAACATAATTCGTTTAAACATAGATGGTTTTGTACTATACTTATTGCCACATCGTTTTATAAATTGATGTATATATGTGTTGAATTAAACTTGTTATCAAAGAGATGTGATCGACATGGAATATTACTCCGACCACAAACAAACGTCTCACATCCAGTGCGTCTGCAACCAAGCCACTCAATCACTTGATCATAATTGATTAAATAGCATACTCATAAACTTTTATAAGAAAAAAAAAATTATATCCAATAACATTTTTGTGATGACCTTAATCGTTTTTGAACGGTCAAGATGAGTCGACGTGGGTGCATGAGAGTGTTTTGACTTTTGGATCACTCCTCTCAAACAAGCTGGCAAGGGTTTGTTTAAGGTCCTTTTTACGTGTGCTGTACTTTCTAGAATAGCTAAGTTTCTACATTCTTTATTTAACGTACTAATTCCTCTATCCTTATTTTCTTTCATTCTTTGGATTTCTTCCGCAATCATCTAATGCTTTTTTAGGGTCTTTTTCTACGAAGGAAGTGACGTTTTTGACTTTCTGTTTTTCATGTCTCAATTTCTTCAAGTTATTAACATTCACATATTAAGCTCGTATAGAACACGCTCTAGTCATTTGGCAATAAAATGATCAACTGCAAAAGTGTGTGCGGCTGATGAGGCGACTCTAACCGATGTGTACACTTTGCATTTCTAAGAAGCTAGTTAGACATTGCATATGGTTTTCAGCTTAGTTGATTAAAAATTTTCATTTAACTCGAAGTCCTGAATTCGATATCACTTTCTCCTCCATCACTTGCAAAAAGACCAAATGTATATTATTTGTACTTGTTTCTCATAATGTGCACCTAGGAGTAGGTATATATACATATGCCCTTTAAGGGAAGGGATCCCTATTTTTTCTAAAAAATGGGGATTAGTTGTGAGATCCATTTCACATCGGACTTGAACAATCCGAACAGTCTATTTTGTAAGTCTCAATTCATATATCATCCTTGCAAAAATTCAATTCAATCCAAACTATTTACCTATTTAATTGTCACGATGAAATTTCAATGTTTCTTAGAATATAGTGTTGGTCAATTTCTTTAAACTCAATTAGATGTCTCAAACATTTCAAGTTTGGCTAATATTTTGTAGGGATGATTTATGAGGTGTAACTTGAAAAATAGACGATTCAGATCGTTGAAGTTCGTTGTGGTGTGGGCCCACATCTAATCCCCACCTTTGGAAAAACAAATGCAGATCCGTTCTTTTAAAGACTCTTAGTATATATATGTTCAAAGTTAAAATATAAAGAAGAAAATTCCAACATGTTGAATAGTGAACTGGTTACAAGTATCATCCTACTCATAACTATGAAATAATAACGGTAAGAGCATATAGAGGACTTATTCGAGCATTTTATTAAGATTGATAGACGAAGTGTCACATCCCGGCCCGGGGTGGATCACTTTCCGGGCTCGCTCCACCACCGTAGCACGATATTGTCCGCTTTGGGCCTCAACCACGCCCTCACGGTTTTGTTTCTGGAAACTCATGAGCAACTTCCCAGTGGGTCACCCAGCACGCCTTGATTCTAGGATCGAAATGTGTCACGAAGATTTCTTTGATAAAAGTATAGATTCGAATGCAAAACGATTTGGTAATGATTTTTATGGGTGTGACAATGGAATTCAGCAAAGTTTTGCAAGTGAAATTAAGGAGCAATGTTGTAAGATGCTCCGTTTTACAGATATGAAATCAGATTATTGTGGTTTATATGTGTATTTTACAAGAAACTAGCATCTTAACTTGTCATGGGAGAGTATGATCCACGCACTCTTCTAAGGAGTGGGGGAGGTTGAAGAATTCAGGGCATTTGAACAATTAGGAAAGGTTCTTGGTATAGTTGGGCGCTGGCCTTTCTTGACTTGACCGTAATCAAATTTTCTCTTTTTTTTTTTCAAAAAAAAAAAATATTTATAATAATAATAAAAACATTTTGAAATTTGTTGCTGGTTTTGTCCTCAAAAGTCCCTCACCAACCACAAGGTTAATTTTTCTATTTGAATATACCGTCGTGAAAAGGTCGGGTGTAGGTGCTTGATCACGCATTCACGTGGTAACATAATACGCGTAAGGATGTGGACTGTTGATTTAGTTTTTATCTTGCTGATTAGTTTTAAGATAAAATTTTAACATTTTTATTAGTTTTAGAGTAAGTTGTCATACGTAAAAAAAAAAAATCAACAACCACATATACTTTCTGTGTTTAGTTTGTGTGTCCCCATTGAGGATGCAGTATGGTGTGAAGGGTTGTCTCACGTTAAAAAAATTATATAATCTTACATGTCTTTATAAAAGTTTGGAATATTATCTCAATTTTGAATTGACAAGTTAAAACCTCGACTTAGTCCTGTACCCACCGTACATGCAAATCTACAAACAACGTAAGTCCGGCTCTCAAAAACCCATTGGCTTCTACATATCCAAAAAATTAAATACCCTTATTTCACAAGAAGTTTATGTAATAGACTGATCGGCTATGGTGCCAAATAATTTAGGAAATTTTTTATTTGAACTCATAAATTTCATTCTACATTCAACTTAAATTTTGATGTGAATTGTCTTTTTTACTCTAGTGTATAGTTATCATCAAATTCAAGATGAAATTAACAATAAAACTAAAACTTATAAAAAAAACCCAACACACAATAATCAAACGCTTACCGTCACACAATCTTTCTTCTACGTTCTATTCTTTCTTTGTATTGAGATTTTTCTTTCTTTGAAAATATCTGTCGATGTTTTTTGGTCTGTTTACATTTGCTTATTATTCTCCTATGTATCAAAAACTAACGAACCGGAAGACTTTAGATAAAACAAGTAGTTCTTTTTCTTTTTGTTCGTTCGTTTGTTTGTTTGGTTTTTTTTTTATTTATATGTATGTATGTATGTATGTGTATGTGTACTTTGATCAATGTTGTAAAGGGTGATGGAGACTCCATCAAAAACAAGTTTGAACAACGCAAGGCAACCTGAGATTTATTGAGAACAACCCTGTAGACGGTGTGACGGAGACTCCATCACGGCCAAGTGTTTTGGTGTTGGCAACATCCTTCTGCCATCCTCTTGTAAACCCTCTTGTAAACTCAAACGATGAATTAATTCTCACCAATTCCTATTAATTTCGATTTTGATTTCTATTTCTACTAAATCATGAAGAATTGAAAGGAAAGACAACGAACCAGCTAAAAAGAGAGAAAATATTGATTTTGGATTCTTTTAGATAGGTGCAAAGATAAATTTACATATATATTAAATTGGGTTTGTGAAGTAGTTTAGGTAGTAAATTTGAATTCAAATTATATATATATCTACTAGGGGGTGTATTCAATTGGGATTTTAAGGGATTTTAATTCTTTTAATGAATCTAGGGGTATTCAATCATGATTTGAAGTGATTATCTGAAATTCTAAGTGTATTCAATTAGAATTTTAAAATAGTTTATTAAAATCCTTATAAATCCATGTGTATTCAATTAAGATTTTAAAGAAGTTTATAACATTCTAGGTGTATTCAATTAGAAATTGATTTTAAAGAATTTGAGAAAGTTGAGGAATTAGAGGGAATTGGAGAGATTTCGTAGTGTATTTTAAGCATTCACAAATCTCACCTCTTCCCATGAGATTTCGAGGGAATTGAATCAAAATTTTATATGGAATCTCTACAAATCAATTAAACTCCATAAAAATCCATGGATTTATAAATCCATTAAAATCTCTCGTATTCTCAATTGAATACATCCCCTAAAACTCAGCGGATTGGTACTGTTCATTAACAGTTCCATTCCGGTTTCGTCCCTCATTTTCTTCATGGTTTTTCGGCTTTAGTGGGATTGTGCAGTAAATTATCCATTTTACCCTTCATCATACGTGCTGCGCATGCCTATTGCACGTTTGCTGCTAAGCGATGTTGACACGTTAGTTTGATTCGAAAAGGTCTCCACCGTTCCTTTTTGTTTTTGGTGGGGAAGGTGCTCGAAGCCTCTTCCATTTTCTTCTGTCGGTCTCCCTGCGTCAACCCTTCGTGGTTCCCTGCTTCTCTCTCTCCGTCGATTGTGTGTCGTGTGAAGAGTTTCTTTTTCCGGCTGATTGCACTGTTTCAGGTGGTTTCATTGCTCTTTTTTTTTCTTTTTCTTTTTTTTTGTCTTTTCTTTGATTGGGAAGACAATTTGTGTTTTCGGTGTGGTTGTTTAATCTGATTGGGTTTTTTTGTTTCAGGAAAATTGGTGTGCGAATTTTAGGGTTTTTGTGTACAACCTTGCAAACCCCTTCTGATTAAGGTCTGTGAGTTTTTTCTTTCAAATCTTTTCTTATGTTTTTTTCGATGATTTGTGTGTGGCTGTTCCATCTAATTCGATTTTTCGTTTTAGGAAATCTTGGGGTTTTCGTCTAGATCGATTGCTTGATCGATGTAAAATTAAAGTCCTCTGTTTTTTTCTCTCTAGAACTCTGTTTTACTATGTTGTTTCTGTTGCAGGTGGCGGTGTTTGCTTGGTTTTGTGCTCTGGTCTTAGAAATTGTATGGTTGTTTTTTTGGTGGTTTCGTGCTATCTTGAACTCCAAGTGGAAAGCCCAAGGAGCAGAAAATGGACAATCACAATTATTATTGGTTTTATATTTAATTTTTAACTCAGTTTAATAATTAATTTTGTCCACCAATTAATTTGAATTATGTGGTGAAATGATCATATCTAATTAAGTTTATTAGGTTGCTATTTCTTTTTTGGGGATGTGTTTTAGCAGGTGGATTGGATTTCAAGTATTTTTTAGGGTGGGTAAAAAGGTTGAGCGGAGGCAAGAACATTCCTAAGGTAAAGTTCCTTTGCTCTTCTCCGTCTTTTAAAACGAAGCCTTTAGGCACACAACTTTGTTTTCCCAAGTATTTTTTATGTGTTGTTGTCAAGAGTCGATCAGTTTTTAGGCACACAAGTAATCCAATGGATTAGAATTTGACGAAATTACACTGATTCAGATGGTATTGATCAAATGAATGAGTTAGAAACTAAAAATTACAATAGTTTCATGAAAACTACATTAGTTTCTTACTGCTTTTATTACTGAACATATTTTCTGTATATGTAATGCTTTATTTTCGAGGTTATTCTCTCAACACCTTGTGAATTGTCACATCCGGTCCGGACTCCCACCACATCCTGGGCTCGACTCTGTCATAGCATGATATTGTTCGTTTTGGGTCTCGACCACGTCCTCACAGTTTTGTTTTCGGGAACTCACACAAGAACTTCCTAATGGGTCACCCATCATGGGATTGCTCTTGCGCGAACTCGCTTAACTTCGGAATTCCGATGAAACCTGAAGTAAGTGAGCTCTTAAAAAGCCTTATGCTAGGTAGAGATGAGAATATACATATAAAGTTTACAAGATCCACTCTCATGTTACTTGAATGTACAAGTAGTCGATTAGAGGAAAAATGTAGACATGACTATTACCATATTTGGATGTTTAATAATGCAATGGTATTGAAGCTAAGCAGCCAAACTCTGCCATTAGAAATTGTGCTGGAGTTCAGTGTATTAAGAATTGTAACAAAGCTACAATATTTACAATCACCACCTTTTAATTCTCTCCGTTTTTTCAATGCATCAAACAATTTGGTTATAAGATTAGTACATATTTATGGTTTTTTTTAACCTTTCAGATTTATGAATAAGGATCAATACGTAGTTATGTTTTTTTTTTTTTTTTTTTTTTTTTGATATTGCAGAGTTAATTTTTTTTTTTTTGAAGAAAGTGCGATATTCATTGAATACTGAAAAGAAAAACGTACAAATAAGGATAGGGTGCATAATATTGGGCCTCAATAAAAATCCTGCCGGAGATTTCAACCTGATCGAAGGGAAAAAAAGTGTTCCGCACCAACTAATTAATAAGACTATCGTCGAATAAGAGTTTAGAGATTACATCATGAGGCTCTTCAAACCAAGAAATAGGATGGTCAACAGTCAGACCCAGGATGGTCAACAGTCAGACCCATTCGCGCCAGATGGTGGGTCACCTTATTGGTCTCTCTTCGCCCAAATATAATTTTGCACGCTCTGAACTCATTCAAAAGTTTCCTGGTATCATCAAATAAAAGACCATAATGGCCATTATGAGCTACACCTTTGTTTTGGATTGCAGAAATAACCAATAATGCATCATCCTCAGTGGCGGATCCACAGTGGGGTCAAAGGGGTCGCACGACCCCTTGGAAGCCATGGAAACAACCTTAGAGATCCATTGGAGCTACTGGTGCAATCCCTTGGAGTTGCTGGTGAGACCTCTTGGCTGCACACCAAGTGTTCGACGAAAGGTCTGAAAGAACCACCTTCATCTCTATTCAAAGTTCAAAACTCATTGAAGGAATCTTGATAAAGTTTGTACTTATAGCCCGTGCATCATATCTTGTATCGCAGTACACTGACCTTGCTAAGGCAGACCGTTCTTTAATATTAGAGCATTTTCGGCAAGCAACAATGAGATGGAACCCAGAAGTGAGTGCTCAATCAGCAGTTGATAATAAGTCTGTGAAAGATGAACAAAAATCTCATATGATAGTTGCAACAGATGCATGCCTTCCGCTGCTTCCTTCTGGGGAATCACCTATAGCTGCCCGTGTTCTTATAAATTATGAGTTACCGACAAAGAAGGTACAGTTCTCATTTTTCCTTTTGGGAATTGGGACTTAGATGTACTGCAATTTCACGCATCCACTTATGCTGACAGTTACTCTTGTTGTGCCATTTCAAGGTCGTTAATGATTGAATTCTGTGTTATAACAGTTGTATACATGGGACTGCATGTGGTTTTGCTACCTTATGCATTACATACTGCGTCCCTTCTATTTTCTCATGTATATATGCTTCCTTCCTTACAATCCTCTGTGCAGGAAACATATACAAGCCGTATGACAACTTGTTTGGCTGCAGGTTCGTCCTACCAAGTTGTACTACTTTGTTAGTTGCATATTAATGGGGTATGCTCTCTTGCGATAACTTTGTACAAATACGTGCAGATGGGATTGTAATCAACATGGTCGTCGGGGGTGAGGTAGTAACTCTCAAAAGTCTTGAAGAAAGCAGCAACCTGGTCATAGCTGAGATGCCCATACATGTGAGTTTGTTAATGCGTATGTTTCCCACATTTCTTGTATCATATCTTGTATCGCAGGTTATACTTATAGCCGTTTCTGTTAAAAAAAAATTGCGCGCTACGCGCGCTATCCTTATTGACCCCCCAAACATTATTTCTTGGATCCGCTACTGATCACCCTCTACCTGAACTTGCTCCATGCTCCATCGGCATAAAAACATAGATGCTGCTCGTGCAGCAGCAGCCTCTGCATGTAGTGCAGAACGGATTCATGCGTCCCTGCTCACCTGAACCGCAAGAAAACCACCTTTAGCATCACGTACTACCATCACAAAACCCCCAATTGAACCTTCTTCATCCCAAGCAGCATCAAAATTACACTTTATCCAACCAGAACTAGGGGGCTGCCACCGAGTTATTTGCACGGACGATGGTTGATGAACAACTACATTCCACTTTCTAAATTCCGCCAGCCATGTTTGTGCCCTAAGATGGGTATCCAATGGAGAAACCTCAATACCAGACCAGAGAAAATCATTATGTACTCGCCAAATACTCCAAACTAGAATAAGAAGCAACTCAAAACTTTCTTTGGAGAATTCCTGCGCCATGCACTCCAGCCACCCTTGAAAGCCATACTCACTACGAGGGAAAGATGTAATTCCCAACGGGCTACCAAACCACACAACTGCCGCTCGTGTACATGTTAACAAAGCATGTTCAATCGTTTCCTTTGCTTGATCACAGTATCCACAAGTAGCCGCCATAATTACACGTCTCGACTTCAAATTCACTGTAGTAGGCAATGCATTCATACAAGCACGCCAAACACAAATTTTCACTTTCCCCGGAACCTTAGCCCTCCGTAATGCTTTCCACAGAAATTTTGTTCGCTCACGAACAATTAAACCCGTAGACTCCTCACCGCCCAAACCTGGATATGCTCTAGCCACAAAATAAGCACTCTTCGTTGTGAATAACCCATTAGAAGTTTTAGCCCAAATTAACGAATCTGGAGGATGAAATAAACTCAAGGGAATGCTGAAAATGAGGGCAGCTTCCTCTTCCGTAAACCACCCCCGTACTAATGCCGAATTCCACCGCACACCCTCATCTTCCACCATTAAAGATCGTACTGTAAGAAATGGATGCACCCCACACGGTACCGGACTAAGAACACGAGACATATTATCCTGTGGCAACCAATTATCACCCCAAATACGTATTTGGAGACCATCTCCCACTCACCACCGTGCTTTTTGTAAAATAATGAACCGGGAAGCAGCCACACTACGCTAGCAATAGGAAGAATTAGGCTTAACAGACGCCTGCAAAAACTCATTATTTGGATAATACCTCGCTTTGAAAATACGTGCGACAAGTGAACTAGGTTGGTGAAGAATACGCCACGCTTGTTTCGCAAGCAAAGCAAGATTAAATGCATTCAAATCTTTGAAACCTAAGCCACCTTCACCTTTAGATTTACATAGCCGCTGCCATTTCACCCAATGTATTCTACGCTTACCTATTTCTCGTCCCCACTAGAACCTTGCCACCATTTGATTTAGCTCATCACAAAAAGACTTGGGTAACAAGAAAGTCTGCATTGTGTATAAAGGTAGTGCCTGTGCCACTACTTTAATTAAAATTTCCTTGCCCGCACTACTAAGTAACTATCCACGCCAACCATTCAATTTCTTCCACAGCCGATCTTTAATATAAGCAAATGTATCTTTTTTCGACCTCCCGATGAAAATCGGAAGCCCAAGATAACGGCCATGGAAAGCCACACGCTCCATCCCCAAACAATCCGCTAGTACTTGGGAATCAATCTCTGTGATATTCCTACTAAATGCTACGCTACTTTTTGACAGATTGACAGCATGCCCCCGAAGCCCTTTCATACGTAGATAATAACTCCTTTAATTGCAAACATTCATGAATAGAACTTCTAGGAAATATGAAACTATCATCCGCAAACAATAGGTGATGAACACTTAGGCCCCCATACAAACTTTAACGCCCTGGATCCTGCCTTGAGCTTCCCATGAATCGAACAACGCCGATAATCCTTCAGCACTCAACACAAATAAGAAAGGTGACAAAGGGTCACCCTGGCAAATTCCCCGTTTTGGGTAGACTAGCCCCACCGGCTCACCATTCAGTTTGAATGAATAAGTGACTGTCGAAACACACATCATTATCCAGTGTATCCACTCGTCTGCAAAACCCATCTTCCTCATCATTTGTTCCAAAAAATTCCATTCAATGCGATCATAGGCCTTGCTAATATCCAGTTTCAAAGCCATAACACCGTTCCATCCATTATTTTTCCGATGCATATAATGTGCAATTTCCGAAGCAACCATACTGTTATCAGATATTAATCTTCCAGGTATAAAGGTACTCTGCGATGGTGAGATAATATCCGGGAGAATAGGTTTCAACCTATTAGTGAGCACCTTAGAGAAAATCTTATAAATCACATTACAAAGACTAATCGGCCTTAATTGGGTCATCTCAGTAGGATCACTTTTTTTATGGGATCAAAGTTACATGAGTGTAATTGATCTTTCTAAGCAAGTGACCCGACATACTTTCCCTTTATATTAAAAAAATTAATAATTTGGGGTTATTGAAATCAATGATGGAAAATCTGCCACTATCTGAGAAAATTGAAGATTTCAGTATTCAAATTCTGGATTATCTTAGACTTTATGGTTGTACATTCTACAACAGCTATATATGAGTTTTTATTTTCAATTTGTGTTCATTTGAACGAAACCCTAACGGTTTGGTTTTGCAGCTTATAAATATGTCCAATGCCAATTTATTTTCAAAACTTCCATTTTACAAAACGCAAGCATTATGGAGGGAAGGAACTTGAGATGGAGCTTACAGGCACGCCCTACCAAGAAAAATAAGAGGTTAGATAATTCCAATTTTATCCAAATTTTGAATACAGAATTCAATTTCTTTGAGTAGACACTAATTTCTAATTTTCCATTTTCCTATTTTTCGTTAATTTATTTAGGTGTCCAAAATTAACTTGACCTATGGTTGAAGATCTTAGCAATGGACGGTCTTTGGAGATTCTCATTAATCGCTTCAGAAATTAGTGCCCGAATCCCGATTCAAATTGGCTAGATAGCTTTCTTTGTCGGTTTTAGTTGATTGTTCAGATTTTCCTTTTTTTTTTCTCAGCAACCAAACATGTGCCACTGAGTTCTCAAGTTTATGATTCACTACTTATTAATACATTATTACTACGTTTTAATTTTTAAGTAATCGAAATTGTTATGCTCTGAGCAACTACTGTATCTTCAACTCACCAAAATGGCAAGAGATTCTCACCTTTCGAAGCGCAAGCCATGTGCGTTGATTAGGTAGGATACTAGGAAATGTTGTTCTTGCTATGGAACATTATTTTGTTGGCTTTGATGTTGTCTTTCTTTTGATATGCCACTCAATGTTGTGCAAATTCCGTATCATTATTGACCTAACTGGTTGTGATATCCAATAGTGTAAAATCCCTTTTCACGGTCCAAAAAACTCTTTGGTTTTCTTCAAAGAGACAAAACTTTTGACATGTTTTAGTTTTAAACCTTGATCTAATATGAGGTAGATTTGTCTTTGATTTGTTAAACCTATGCATGTGTTTGCCTCATCTGGATTAACAGAAAAAACAAAATAATATTTCCCCAACAAATTGTTGGTACTTTTACAGGTTTCATGACTAATACTACAAGTTCTTCTTCAAGATCAGCATACGCACATTTGCAAATACCAAGATCATTATTTATCTGTGAGTACATCTAATGTATAAATGCATACAATCACTAGCTTGGCTCTACTAATTGAATTTCTATCATAAACTTCAACATTTTCGTTTCTTTTTCTCATTCAATTTAGCATAACACCATATATTTTTAATTCCAAAGAGAGATAATAAACCATATTTAATATATAATTTGTTTTGATTGGTTTAGATTGACCTAAAAGAAACTAGGAAAGGAATGATGCACAGTGATATAGAATGCTTAAATTGAAATCTCAGTTTACAACTTTTAATACCCTAATTGATGGACAGGAATATAACTTTGCGGTAGCACCTTGCTAAACAATATTTTTTCCTATGTTTTATTCAGCTTTTATCTAATTTACATTTATCTTTTTCAATCTTTGTTATACATTTAAGATGCTGAAACAAAGCAAACGCATAAAATTGGGTGTATAATGAGATTATATGGGTTAAAAAAAATTCTCTAACTTTACGTGATATTGATATAACGCCAAAGAAAAAACATATAGAATTCACTTGGTATACATGTTGACTTTTAAGCAATACGTATTTAAACCAGTTCTGTTCGAATATGTTTTGTTAATTTCTTCTAAGCGGTTTGAGGCATAGTTAGCTTTTTAAAACAACAGACAATAATCTTCAAGGAAAACATAGCCAAAAGGGGAGCTACACCATTATTTTTCTTAGAGGGACAAACAATGGTTTCTAGGAGCTTTCCGTTGTCAACAAATCCAAAGACAGGAAAAGAAGAAAAAACTAAGTTTAAACTCTTATATCTTATTAACCAAGACAAAGAAAAATGCTACAAATTGTTAAGATAATTACATAACGTGGAAAAACTACATCATACTAAAACGTAATTCATACTTACAAGGAAGACTTTGGATGCAATCTCTAGCTATAAATATTCTTTGAGTGAAACCTTGTTGGTTTTCAATTTTTTATCAAGTCCCTAAAACTAATGTGATAATTTATTTCTATGTATGTTACTATATTTTTTAAATTAAAAATTTATATTTATATTTGTTTGTATTAATGAGATTTTAAATAAAAAACCATAATTTGTGGGATTAAAAATATTAAAATATAAATATACTAGTGTGTGTGTATAAACATGGGTACATTCATCAAAATTAACCAAAAAATTATTGTATCAAAACATGGGTACATTCTTCAAAATCACAAAAAAAAAAAAAGGATATTAGGCTTAATAACATTAGTAAATTTCTTTGATTAACCTTAACATGGATACATTCTCGAATCAAAGAAAAAAGAATGTACTCATATAAGTTTAAAAATGGATTAGAAAAAAATTGAATAGATTTTATATAAAAAAAATGGTACATGTTACATATTACAAATTGGTATATTTAAGAATGAGTACATTTTAAGATTAAAATTTTGAAAAAATTACATGAATGGGGACATATAATTAGCATGGGTACATTTAGCAAAAAAAAAGGGTACAAATAAATAAATAAATAAATATGGATACAAATACAAATAAAACTTTAAAAAATATGGGCACAAAAAGAAATTAATATATGGGTACAAATTAAAACTGGAAAGAAAATTGGTACAAATTAAAAAAGGGTTGCAAATTAAAAATGGGTACAAATTAAAAATAAAAATATATGATAAAAAATTTAGCCATAAATATAATATACTAATTGTAACATTTTTAACATTAAATGAATATATTTAGAAATAAAAAATATTTTATTATTGAAATAATGAATAATGTTATTAATACCAAGGATCTGGATCAAAAATTAAAAAGGAATGAGGTTTTAATTAATGGAGCAGCAAAAGTAAGGATGAAAACCTAATTTCTCCTACTTACAAATTGGATGCAAGATTTATTTATAAAGATTGAAGTACAAGAATAAATATGAACAATAAATAAGCAGAAAAGGAATAAAAAAACATAGTAAATAATAGTTTGGAAAAAAAAACGTAGTAAATACGAGGAAAGAAATTATAATTGGTGTACAACATGATGTGATAAGTGATTCATAAAATCATTAGCCATTGTGAAGAATTTATTAATTAACGTTTCAAGTACACATCACTTGCCATATCATATGTGTTGAGTAAAGCAAGTTTGTCAATCTCTTGATTTAAGGAGTCCATCTCCTTGGTTACTGTAAGTTATCTTTGATTGCTTTTCATTCATGTATGAGTCTAACTCATGTAATAGGCTTGTATAGGCCTTAATTTCAAGATCTTGACTGATCCATGTTTCTGTATAAGTCTCTTGTACCTATTACTCTTTTCCTTAATGAAAACCATTCACACAGAATAGAAGGTTTTACAATATGGTAACCAATGTGATACAAAAATGTGATATCCCAACATTTCCCTGCTACAAAACCTTATGATGCAACATACAAATATACAAATTGCTAATTCCAACAGCTCGTCAGCCTCATCCTAATTACACTACATTGTGCCGTTGTGTGTTGGTCAAGAAGGGAAAAAACTAACATATACATACATATTACACTACATTGTGTCGTTGCGTGTTGGTCAAGAAGGGTCTTGGGGTCAAGAAGGGAAAAAACTAACATATACATACATACATACATACATACATACATACATACATATATATATATATATAATATATATATATATATATATTGATGCTAATTTTCAAGCCGGTGTCGAAATAAACGCCGATTCAAATGCAAATTTAGATGAAGATACCGAAATAGGTACAGAATTCGATTGCATACGTAGTTCCCAATTGCAGGTAAAAATTTTGATCATATATCCCTTTACCCTAGTAAAATTTATGACCTAAAACCCGAAAATACGGTGACAAACATTGTGCATCATCTACAACCCAATTTTTATATATATCGCTTAAGCAGCAATGAACCTGCTGCCATGCTCATCACATATCACGATTCTCAACAGATATTGCTTTTCTTTTCTTTTCTATATGATCCTAAAATCCATAAACTAACCAGGGCTAATTCCTTTTCTTTTTATATTATCCTCTCCATTATTTCCTAACTTCACAGATAACATATTGGGAAAAAATTTCACTTTTCTGTGATCTATTCGCTGTTAGAATAGAATTACTATACAAGACCAAAACATGAATTACAGTCTAAAAGCTCCAACCAAAATTCATGTGTATGAGAACCAAAAGAAAGGCATACCTGCATCAACTCCAGAACCCGAAGTCATAGCACCAAGCTTCCAGTGAACCTTCTCTTCTCTTGCAGATTATCTAGAACTCAACTTTTAAATAGGATTAAATCCAATATGAGCATATCTCATGTGAGAAGAGAGGTCACTATATATATACATATAATCTTTACCTTGACAGATTAGGATTCCCTATTAAAATCCATATAGGCAACAAATACTTATTTCCTTGTTATACAAGAACTGATCTCAATGCTATACAAGATCCTTCTTTGCCAATGATTAGCATTCCTTTTGTCAACAAGACTTTTCTATCAAACTGAACACCTATAGCCGATCCAAAACTTCTCTATCTCATAATCATATTCTTACATTCTCCCACTTGAGTATGAGAACAGTTTCAAGTGCTCAGCTTATTCAATTGTTCTTTAGATAGAAGTGATCACTAAGCCTATTAACAAAAATCCCCAATCACAACCATTTTACATACATCTCAAAATGTAGAACTCTGTAACTTTATTGCAACCATAATGCACATTAGTTTTGAAGAGTTACGGACATTCAATTTGTATCTTTAACATTGTGAACCAGATCAATATCAGCAAATGAGCAAAGTAATTTGCTCCCACTATTTCACATCATTGACAACAAGAATTTAAGATAAATAATTGCCCCTAACAATGCATGAATCAATAATTCAATGTCAACTGCTTAAACAGGCAGACTGTCATAAAAGCATCAAATGAACTATCTCAAATTTTATTTCTTAAAAACAGCAGACCACTAAAACAAGTCTCAATTTGAGAATAAAATAAACCAAAACAAAACTAGCTTCAAGCTTTATTAAAAAAACATAAACCTGTTTGTATCACTGCACCAGCTCTCTGAACTTCACAGCAGCAACAGCCCATATGCAACACTAGATCACTCCCACTGGTCAAAGGTTTCAAGAACCCCCATCCGAGAAACATGAGCTTTAAATTTAAAAACCCCAATTGGCAATGCCTTGGTCAAAGGATCTGCTATCATTGCATTAGTACTTAAATGTTCCACTTGAATAGCTCCCTTCCTAACCTTTTCTCGAACTTTAAGAAACTTCACATCCATCAATCTAGAAGCTGAAGTTCTTCTATTGTTCTTAGCAAAAAAAACAACAGAGTTATTATCACAATACATTTTAACAGGTCTTTGCACAGAATCAACAATCCTTAAATCGACCACAGCTTGTTTCATCCCTTCAAAACATGCTACAAATTCTGCCTCCATAGTAGATGTGGCTATTATTGTTTGTTTTGCACTTTTCCATGAAACTGCACCACCACTAAGCATAAACACATAGCTACCTGTAGATTTTCTGTCATTTACATCACCAGCTAAATCTGAATCGGTATAGCCAACTAACTCTAGATTCTCTTTTCTGCCATAAACCAACATATATCCCTTGGTTCTTTGCAAGTACCTCAAAACCTTTTTAGCAGCTACCCAATGAGACTCCTAGATTTGCTTGAAACCTACCTAACATTCCTACTATGAATGCTATATCTGGTCTCGTGCATATGGTAGTATACATCAAACTACCCCACTAAAGAGGCATAGGGCTTGTTCTTCATTTTATCCACCTCAACCAATGTCTTGGGACACTGAGATTTAGAGAACTTGTCTCCCTTATACACAAGCACTTCACCATTATTACAGTTTTCCATGTTGAACCTCAGCAATACTCTTTCGATATAACCCTTCTGTGATAGTCCAAGTAACAGTTTAGACCTGTCTCGAATGATTTCAATGCCAAGCACATAGTGTGCCTCTCCAAGATCCTTCATCTCAAAATTATTGCTTAGTATGGCCTTGGTATCATTAAGAAGCTTTATATTAGAACTTGCTAGGAGAATATCATCAACATATAGGACTAAAATGATGAAGCATGAACCTGACCATTTGATGTATATACAATCATCTAATTTATTTTCCATGAAACCAAATCTTGTAACAACCTGATCAAATTTCAAAAACCATTATCTTAATGCTTGCTTCAGTCCATAAATCGACTTGTTAAGCTTGCAGACCTTGTTTTCTTTCCCCTTTTCAACAAATCCAGGAGGTTGTAACATGTATATGTTTTCTTGGAGTTCACCATTGAGAAAAGCAGTCTTCATATCCATTTGATGCAACTCTAAATCAAAATGTGCAACTAATGCCATTATAATCCTCATAGAGTCTTTGGAAGAAACAGGTGAAAAAGTGTCATTGTAGTCGACTT